CCAGTTTGAAGGATATTTATGTTTCATGCAATCAAGGAAGTTCTGGCTAGCACAGTAGGGTGAAAGCTGGGGATGGTGATAGGAAATGACTAGAAAATGTAGTCAGAGATGTAAATGAACAAAGAACCAACAGGCTTCCAACTGGGTTTAAGATATTGGAACAAACTATGCAGTAGTTCAGGCAGAAAAACTTGCAACTGTGGCCAGGAACACAAGGCCAAGTCACCAGTGCTTCTCAGTGTAGAATGCAGACTGTCTGGAGACATACACAGCCAGGATCACATTACCGTGGTGACTTGTGGCAAACGATTTGCTAAGCTGTAGATACAATAACGACAAGGAAAATACTCATATCCGGGGTGGTTATTACAAACTCCTAGGGAGATAATGCTACTAAGGGCCTAGAACTTGCTTTAAAAATATTGCTGGGCGTTCGTGGTGCACGCCTTTAATCCCAGCACTCGGGAGGCAGAGGCAGGCAGATCTCTGTGAGTTTGAGGCCAGGCTGGACCGACAGCCTCCAAAACAATACAGAGAAACCCTGTCTCGAAAAACCAAAAAAAAAAAAAAAAAAACAAAAAAACCTATTACTTTCCCTTTACTATCTATTCTTCCTATTTCACTTATAAAAGAAAAGAAATAATCTAAATGATTACAGTTGGGACTGGCATGTAAATTTAAGAAAAACTAAACAGACATTGTAGTAGGTGGTGAAACAAAAATCTTCCTAGCTGCAAACATATCCAAGCAAATATCTGCTCTATGAAATACTTTCCTAATCTTGGTGACTTACTCATTTTGAGTGAGGACAGTAAGAGCTGACCTGGCCCAGACTTCCTTCACTTATCAACAAACACTGCCTTACTGTCTTATGCACATACTCACATACTGGGAGTTGGAATCAGCAGAACACAAAGGACAAGAAGGGAACTTTTACCCTTCTTGCATTGTCATATGCAAGAGCTAGAAATAAATGCAAAATGATCAGTGTGAAATGATTCCCTATAAAGCACATCCTGGGTAGAGATTCCAATTTTTTTCCACAAAGATACTTGAGAAAAAAATTATAAATAGTAATTATCCAGGAAGCCAAAACAGAAACAGCATATAGCATGTTAAAAAATAAATATACTATCTCGGCTCCTCTTGTTCATGATGACTTTTATTTCTTCCTTCTCTGAATTATGAACTGGCTAGCATGAACTGACCTGAATGTTGAACTGTGTTCAATGGGTAGTCGTCATCTTTCAAACCCATGGGTCCAAAGAAAGGCATGAATTCTGGGGTGTGTCCCGAATGTCCCTCTCATCTGTTATTCTAGACATACAGCAGACTCCGTTTGTTCTGACAGCTTCGCTGCAGCTCTTGACAGCCATCAACTGCAAGTTGGGACTGTTCTGATTTAACATTCTGTATCAGAGCCCCAGAAACTCAAGTCCAAGTTTGTATAGTACTAGGATTTTAAACAAGAGCATGGCCCTTAAGGAAGTTTCCTGAATCCCAAGGAATACCTAAGGAAGCACTGTGCAAACCTTCCTTCCTTTTTTGGTTGTACTGAAACCCAGCTACAAGAATCCTTGGACTTGGCCTCCAGCGTCATCAGTTTGTTTTCGCTTCTAACAGCTATTAGGAGACTGTGAGCCAGATGATTCTGGTCAAGGCGCAATTGAGATCTTAAAAATAACGTTTGAGGTTGATCTGAGGGACCTGACAAATGATTAAACCTGACTTAGCTTGAGAAAACCAATTAGTTTATTTTCTCCTTGGCTTTCAACCCTGAGGTCGTTATGATATGCTGGCTTCTAATGTGAACATTTGAATGTTCCCTTTTCTCTTTCCACAACACTCCAAAGCAAAGCAGACATAAAGTTATTTTTACCTTGAGTTTTCATGCCTTAATGGTTGTGTGGGCCCATGAAGGCAGAGCTTGCAGCAAGTAAGCTGTTTTGATTTTTTGTAAGATTCCTTTTATGTATGTGGAATACAAGGAAAAAATAGCTGAAGGTGAGATGGAGTGGAGGTCAGTGGTAGAGCATTTCCATAGCACATGAAGAATTCTACCTGCATCCCTAGGGTCTTTACACGCACATCCTACACCACTAGTACCACTAGACAACATGGGCAACCGTGAGGCTTGTCCTATGCTGTCAAGAATGCCTCCCAAAAAGACCTATATTCTATACACCCTTCCATCTTTTGAAACTCTTGTGAATTTGCCTATTTGACAAACCCTGGGTGGTAGACTTCCTTGAAATTCAACTCTCTATTGCAATTTTCCCCTGACCACCCATTATCAACTAGCCAATCATGTCAGATTGTGAGGCTGGGTTGTCACCAATGGCATGAGACACAGGTTAAGTGACATCCCCCCCCCACCATGTGCTTACACAGCTGATGTGGGACATTGTGTGTCCTTCTGTAGCAGTGAAATTGCCTGATTACCTGGCTGAGCTACTTCCACTTTATTCAGTATCTCATTTTGCCACACCAGGAATATCTTTTTACAACAGTGTCTCCTGACTTTCATGTATGCCTTCAATGGTTGGTCTAAGGATCAATCATATGACTTCTTCTCTCTTCCCTCTTCCTTTTAAAAATAGACAGGTACTTATTTTAATCTGAAAACTATAATTAGTACATCAAACCCCCTGAGTTTATGGACACTAATGACTGTGAGGATCCTAAAGAAGATACTTATATAAAACCTTTTAAACTTTTGATGGTTCAGAGAATCAAACCCAGGAACCTGAGCACAAAGCACTCTGCCACTGAGCTACATTCCTAGCAACATTTTTTTTTTTTGGAGATAGGGTCTTGATATGTAGCCTAAGAATAGCCTTACATGTGTGGTTCTGTAAGAGGAATAAATAAAAGCCCCAGAGACTAATATGGACCCCAGCATATTACAGGCATTCAGTGGTTTGATGAATAAAGAAAAACATATAGGTGGTCTTACCAGACATTCTGTAATGTTTGATCTTGAACAAACTTTAAGGTCTCATTGGCACATATAATATTATCTACTTGTGTTATTAACAATAAACTGCCAATGCAAATGCAGACATGTATTATTGTCCACAAATCATAATTTGTGAGAACAATACTATTTCTCACATTAAAATCTTGTTTTGCCTTTTGAAATCTGCTATGGAAGTTATTGTCCCATTTGCTGCTCACAAAAAACCTAGAAGGAAGGAAGAGACAGCCTCAATTTGTACTGACAATAGATGAGAGAAAGGTATACTATTTTAAATCATTTTCACTTTGAAAACAAAAAGCTCAGGCTTTGTGGAGTAGCTTGAATGGCTAAACCATTATCTAAGTCTAACATCCAAGGGCAAAGCTCTTTCATCAGAATCTTCGGGTATTCCCAATTTCTTAGGCAACTTTTAGGTCACAGTTGGAGGGGTTGAAGGTTAAAGCAAGGGCTTTGAGGCAGTAACACTAGTGGACATTTATTGAGTTCTTCCAGAGAACTAGAAACAGTAATCCTTAAAGCAGCTGTATAGCGAGATACTATTACTTAAACTCAACACAGAAGGTGTCCAAGGCTTTTCCAAAGTTAACTTACATTTGCCCAAGACCTCTCAGCATGAAGGAGACCTCAGCTAAGTTTGACTCTAAGGGCTGAGATTCATAACCAGGTCATTCTTACATGAAAGACAGTTGAGACCAGACAGGGAACTGATTTGCTCTGATACCTCAATAAGTTCTGAGTACAAGACCAGAGAAAATGCTCTTTCTGAAAAGTCACCCCTCTGCCACACACACTATAGGGAGCTGTCATTTCACAAGAATAAGGTAAAATCCTTGTTAAGGTCTTATTACAAGTTCATAGAAAAATATTAAATTCTGTTCATTTAAGAACCTTCCCTTCAAGCCAATGGCTATTCTTTTTTCAAGAGAGAAAAAGAACATGAAAATGGGTAGACAAGGAGGGAGGTGGGCAAGGAGTTAGATAAACTACTTATATTGTATGCTATTCTCAAAGAATAAGTAAATACCAAACAAAAAAGTCAAGAGGACTGCAGCTTCAGTAAACAACCTTGATGACATTCATTGGGTCTCTGTCTCTCTCTGTCTGTCTCTCTGTCTGTCTCTGTCTCTCTGTCTCTCTGACACACACACAGTTGAAGGCGGCGCTAGCCAGGAAGATGAAGGATTACTAGGAGTGGGACAGGGACAAAAGGGGAAAGGAGTGGTGGTCACGCACATGATCAAAACACATTATGTGCTGCTATGAGAATGCCATCATGAAACTCACTGTTATGTATACTTAATATTTGATAATGCACATTTTAAAACGCCATAATACAACCAAATACCCCGTATGCTGTTAGTATTTAAAAAACAAAAATATTAGGGGAAGAAAAGGAAGCCTGTGGCTACAGTCAGTCTGACAACTATTACCACGTGGGGGAGCTGCGCGTCTACCTTTCTCGGCTCTTAGGAAAGGTGCCTTAGCGCCCCCTTGGGTTGTGTGCATCCCTGAAATCCAGCCCCACAAGGAAGGGCTCAGCCCCGCCCCCGAGGTTGTGAGCAGCCCTTTAGCCCCGCCCCAACATAGAAGGCCGAGGCCTCGCCTACTGGAGCTCTGAGCAGCTTTCTAGCTCCTCCCCTGGAGGCGGGGGTTAAGCCTCTATCTCCGCCCTTACATGGAAGGGCGCAGGCTCCGACTGGGGTAACTAAAAGCCGCCCTCGGGTCAACCCCTATAGTGCTTTGGATGCTCTCCTGGATGGAGTGCTGGCCCCGCCCCGGGGGAGAGAGGAAATAGAAGCTGTTCTAGCTCCACCCCCACAAAAAAAGCACTGGCCCCGCCTCCAGGCGGAGAGGAGAGGCTGTAGCTCCACCCCCATATGAAAACGCACTGGCCCCGCCTCCAGGCGGAGAGGAGATGCTGTAGATCCACCCCATATGAAAAAGCGCTGGCCCCGCCTCCCCTGTAGCTCCACCCCCATATGAAAACGCACGGGCCCCGCCTCCCTAGTCCCACCTCTACCTGGAAAGGCTTAGGCCTGGGCCCCGCCCCCAGAGGCCATACTCTCACGGGAAAGTTCTCCAGGCCACGCGCTACATCTGGCTCTATCAGGGCGGCAGATTGCTCCTCAGCTGCTGCTACTCCAAAGGAACGCTTCTCGACAGCTTCCGCCGACATTTACAGTCTCACTCCTCCTACTGGCCTGACCGGCTAGGGCCTCCGGGAGGATGCTGGGAGTTGTGGATTCCGCGGCCCCACTTTCTCATGGGAGTTGTAGTTTTCGTTCCTCACAAGCAGCAGGTGAGGGCGATTGCTGCCTCAGCACTGAGGGGATGCTTTGATCTGGATCCCACTGTTTTGAGACCCATACAAGCCAGAGAACCTGAAATGTTTGTTTTTCTGGGGAACCTTGCAAAGCATGGTCAACGTATTGAGGGTTTAGTAGACGTTTGGAGAGGCACCTCCTAAGCTGAATAAGAAAATAGATAGCAGCATATCGACTGTTGTAGAACCGCGGAGAAGTTGGATGACTGGTGACAGATTTTGTGTTAGGGTCCTCTCCTTGTAAGCTTACTTTCTTCTCGCCCAATCATGGGGAAAAAATGCAGTTCTGAGTAGAGTAGAGATAGCCCCCAGTTTCTGAATCTGGTGGAATATTTTAACGTAGCCAAACACTTCCATATTATATACATATATGTTATATAAAACAGGACCTTAAGTGGAAGAGTGGGGGTTTCTTCTTCAAGTTTCAGAGGAAGAAGGGAGTAGTTGATGAGTAGTCTTTATATGTGCTTGCAGGTAGGCTCTTTCTGAGTTATCTATAAGGGTAACTGAATTACTCCAGTTTCTGGAATTATTACCGTTCAATATATATGGAGGAGCTTTGCAAAATGAATGTTCCTGGGTTTTTCATCTTGGTGTCTTGGAGAACAAAATTGCAAATGTGTGTGTGTGTGTAAATGAATACATACTTATTTATATATATTTGATTAGTTTGTTTTGAGACAGGGTCTTAGTATGTCACCCAGTCTGGCCTCGAACTTTCCATCCTCTTGAATATTGGGACTGTCTGCACGAGTCACTGCATCTAAATATCTCACTTGGCCTTATTTTCAATCCTGAACTAGGCAACATTTCAACGTATAAAATAGAATAAGCATTTTGGTTTTCTGAGCATAGCATTGATTTCATAGGAAGAGAAGGGATGGGAAAATAAAAGCAATGAGCAAAAGAAGACTGCTCCTTTCAAAGCTACTTTATCCTTGTAAGGTCTGGCAGTAATATGGATCAATAGGCAAATAACTGATTAGTTAGCATCAGAGCAGTGTTTGTGTGTTAAGATTAAGACAGAAGAGTTTTCTTATTCTGGGAAAATTGTTATCTCTGTAATCTTTTAGTTCCCTGAAAGATCAGATAAACAGCTTATTTTCTGCTTGGTGACAAGTGACTCTATCTTAATTTTTCATCTGCTTTGTTCTGTTCTAGTGTAAAACTTAATACAAAGCAGCCTTATATAGACACACACATATATGTATTATGTATGTACACATATATACATGTACATGTATACACATATGTATATGTATGTGTATGTTGGTGGCCATACATGTGTGCGTGTGTCTGTGTGTATACATATACAGTGTGTGAAGGCTGTGTATGGAAAACCAAAGTTGACAATGGCTGTTTTCCTTGATCACCACTTTATTTGCTGAGTCAGGGTTCTTTGCTGAACCTAGAGCTCCTGGATTCCAGGCTAATCTAGCTAGCCAGTTTGTGTGGTGGAGGTAGGGGAGTACCCTTCTCTGCCTTGTGTGTCAAGTGCTTTATCCACTGACCGATCTTCCCAGACTCTTACCTCCTGTAATTTGTATTTAAAATGCTCTTTTGTCAGTCACCTAGCCCTACTCTCTAAAGTGTGGGAATCACTCAGGATTCTGTGGGGTTTGTCTCCTTTTTCAACTTCCCTGGACTCATAAGTTATCTTTATTTTGAGACAGGATCTCAATTTGTTGCCCAGGTTAGTCTTCAACATGTAGCCAGGACAAGTGCATGACCTTCCTCCACAAACATGGTTCAGATATGAAGTCTAGGATGACATCTCCAATCCCGATGTTATGAATATTGGATGCTTATACTTTCTGTCTTACAGGCTCCTCAAGATTAAAATGACTGGAGCTGAATTATTCTTCATCAAGCTTTGTTTTATTGATAATCTAACATGGTATACAAACAACAAACAGAAAAGTTTCCTTAAATTCCTTCCATTCCCTAGGCTTGTATAATAAGAAGTTAATAGTGACTGATTCTTGGTTCTATCTCCAGTATTTTACTTCTTAACCTAGTTCTAATTTTAAGCAGAAATAACAATAATTAGATACCTGTCTTCAAAATGTAGCAATGTTAGAAAGAACAAGTGGGAGTGTAGAGAACAGTATAGTTTTTTAAAAAATGACTTTAATTGTTTAATCTGGGAATGAGAACCTAGGATTTTTTCTTTTTCTTTTTGTTGTTTGTATTTATTTCTTTTCCCCAAAAACCATATTTTTTTTATTTAAATTAGAAACAAGCTTGCTTCACATGTCAATCCCAGCTCCCTCTCCTTCCCCTCCTCCCTTGCCCCCTCCACACCAGGTCCCCTAGCCCTGCACCCAATACCCACTTCATTCCCCAGGGCGGGTGAGGCCCTCCATGGGGGATTTCCAGAGTCTGTCATTTCATTCCGGGCAGGGCCTAGGCCCTCCCACAGGAATCCAGGCTGAGAGAGCATCCCTCATTGTGGGATGGGTACCCAAAGTCCATTTGTGTGCCAGGGATAAATAATGATCTACTACCCAAGGCCCTACAGAGTGCCTAGGCCTCCTCACTGACACCCACATTCATGGATCAGTCCTATGCTGGCCTCTCAGCCATCTGTCTGGGGTTCAAGAGCTAACCCTTGTTCTAGTCAGCTGTTTCTGTGGGTTAAACCAGCCCAGTCTTGACCCCTTTGCTCATCAGTCCTCCCTCTCTGTCACTGGGTTCTAGGACTTCAGTTCAGAGTTCAGCTGTGGGTGTCTGCCTCTGCTTCCATCAGTCATTGGGTGGAAGCTCTGTTTCCCAGACTCTCTGGCAGTTGGTATTGTAGGCTGGCACTCCCCTGATCTATGTCTAAAATACATATATGAGTGAGTACATACCATGTTAGTCTTTTTGTGACTGGGTTACCTCACTCAGGATAGTTTCTTCTAGTGCCATCCATTTGCCTGCATATTTCAAGATTCCATTGTTTTTTTCCACTGAATAGCACTCTATTGTGTAGATGTACCACATTTTCTCTATCCACTCTTCAGTTGAGGGGAATCTAGGTTGCTTCCAGAACCTAGAATTTTATAATTGTAGCCATGGCACAGTCATATCTGTCTGTCTGTCTGTCCATCCATCCATCCATCTATCGATCTACCTACTTATCTATCATCTAATAAGATAAATATTCAGGCTCACAGCAAATATCTATCTATCTATCTGTCTGTCTATCTATCATCTATCTACCTACTTATCTATCATCTAATAAAATAAATATTCAGGCTCACAGCACAATAACTGTCTATCTATCTATCTATCTATCTATCTATCTACCTATCATCTAATAAGATAAATATTCAGGCTCACAGCACAATCACTGGTCACACTTGGTACTGGACTCAGAAGTAATTTACAGGACAGCAACCATAGCCACTAAGGGAAATGCTGCATCTGCCTTTTCCTATGGAAACAGGGCTTGTAGCTAGCTGTCCTCTCAGCATGTCACAGAGTTGTCTCTGTGCTTTTTTATATTCTTAGAAGATGGCTCAAATGTAATGAGAAGGATTCTGTTAGTAGGACCCAGATGTCTTTTGAGACAGAAGGCTGGCCACAAGTTTGAGGCTCACCTGGGCTACAATGTAAAAATACAATTATACAGCAAACAAAAACAATAGCAACAAAAGAAGATAAAAAATAAAAGAGTAATGTAAATTAGACAGAAAACCATGTCTTTTAGCAACTAAAATTGTATGTTAAAATGTATGGTGTGTCAGTCATAAAGAAAAATACCATAAGTGATTGAAATAACCTGAGAATTGCATCTTACAAAATCACGACGCTGTTTATATGCCCTTGTGGTTAGATAGCTATTAAATGTTTTAATCAGAATAAAAACTCATATTGTTCTGTTTTACCATTTCATCTTGGTTTTATGAGATCCATTACTTCTTTTGTTGATCATACAACAAAAACAATGATTAATTACAGAGTACATTAGCTGTAATATTTGGGATTTAATACTATGGAGTATGTCATAATGATATACTATGATATATAGGTGAAAGGAGGGAATTATGAATTTATTTAATCTGAAACATCATTAATTAATTTTACTCATGATCAGCACAAATACATTTACTATTAGGTGAATACAAACATTAAAGTTCTGAAAATGGACTTGATCTTTTTACAACTAGACCTTGAAAAACATGGCTCGGAATTATACCTACATGTTTTCATTTTCACTCCATGCTCTAGGTAGTAAGTATTTTCATAGTATCTCAAAAGTTTTTCTAGAGTTTTACTGGGATCCTCTGGTCTAGTGTAAAGTGTGCAGCTAGCCACTTTTCCACGTAGACTTGAAAGCAAAGATGGTGCTCATTCAAGTTTTGTCCTTTTGTGTTAATTTTGTCCTAGCTATAGAAAAATACTTTACACAGGTACGCCCATATCTACAAGTGCTTTTAAGATTATTTCAACAGATGCTGAGAGGGGAATCCTTACAGTTCAGGATTCTTGTCCAGAAAGAACCTTAGCATGCTTTCCACTCTGGTAGCTTCCCAGCTTCAGTTCTGGCATTTGTGAATGGGAAGGTTTACTACTGGCAGTAAGATAATTCCCAAAGCAATGTCTTCCCATGAATAAAAGGCGTGGGGATCTTATTAAGAAAACTAGCATATTCATGCTAGAAAACCTCATCATATACAAAGGTACACACATTTCTGATCACTTTCAGTTTGAGAGCATACATTCCACACTCACAAGTGGAGTTGCTTTCTGGGCAGTCCTGGTAGTTAAGACTAACTTGACTGAAGCATGTCTCAAGACTTCTGTTCTTTTAGGAAGTGTTTAGAGGAAACAGCCCCCTTTCACGGTCTCAGTGTGTTAGCATATTTAAGTCAGCTTCACCGCTATAAATAGACGGATCTTTACTCACTG